TCTACACTAACAGAAGACTGCACCATGTCTGGAGGACTATACGGTCCCTGCCTCCACAATTTTAACCTAAAAACTATGATTAATGTGTACAGAAACCTCCCCCTCAATCTGTGATTATCTTCCAGGGCAGACTGCTTCCCAGAGTTTAGCTCTTAATAGATTTCCTATTTCTTTAAGATGAAGGGTTTAAACTCAGGTCAGAGCCTACTTTGCCTGTGACCTTTTATACCACTTTTGAGTCTGCAAGGCTTAAGCCCTTCTATAAAAATTAAGGTGTACTGCAATCATTCTCTTTATATACACTCACATACAGTTAACAAAGAAATATCTGACTTTAAACTTTTCCATAGATAATGAGCTGTAGCTGAAGATCACAAGCTAAATCTGCTTTTAATGACAAGGAAAACTATTTGCAACAGTGGCAAACAGTGTTAGTGCACTCACAACTAATTACAGCACACAAAGTGCCTGTTGAAATGATCACAAGTGTCATCTAGAAAGTCCTAAAATCCTCCAGTAGCCCTGTACAGCTGCACTTATGGACGGAATGTCTGAAGGTCACCCACTGAAGGATGCTGGACTGTCTGTGGAGGACAACATCCACAGTGTTGAGATCCAGGATGCGACAGACACATAAGGAAAAGAAGCCAGTTCAGGGTTGATTTCATCTTAGTGCAAAGCTGAGTCTTTCACAGCCCTTTTCTGCTACAAACAGGTCCCAGAGAAGCCCAGCAAACAAGCAAACCACAAGACACTGGCTCACACAGCCTCCAACCTGAAACCACCTTTGTGTCCCCAGCTGTGCTTGAGGCACATGACAGGATTTGTGAGCTCCCTCAAAGCTCAGCAGAAGCCCAGCGCCTTTTGAAACACATTTCCTCACCTCCCAGATGCCACATGTGCCATTATTTCCAGTGCAAACATGAATGTCAGCACACAGAGCTCTGCAATGTGTGTTTACCTACACCTGAACAAGAGTCAATAACCACCAACAGCAGAGAAAAGTGGACAATTCTGAGATAGGCAGGGAAACAGAAGCCTAAACTTCAGCTGTTTCAGTACATGTAGGCTTTGCAGAATAAGTAATTTCTTCAGGAAAATAATAATTATATAATGCAAATCTTTAGGGGTGAGGAGGAGGGTTGGGGAGAGACCCCTATTCTAATTAAGCAAGATGATTGCTGTTGCTCCATATTTTTAACTGGGAAAAAAAATAAAAAGGGTGCTGAAGGAATTAAAAAGGCACGTTCAGATGTGAAAAAGTGATCATTTAACCACGAGCCACACTCCAGCAGGGTGTTGGGGCATGGAGAGGGGATCTGGCAGACCGGGTAAGTGTCACTGCTCACGGGGGCTGTTCCAAGCCCAGCACTGTGTCACACAGAAGGCAGCAGTGCAGCTGCTCTGAGAGGAGTGCACATACTGCCATGCCAGCTGATGGCCTTCCCCTTTAATATGCACTCTCCAGCTCTGGATTCCCCCCAGGCCCCATCCTGGCAGATGTCCCACGGTGTGATGAGCTGTCACTCCACTCCATGCCCTGAAACTGCAGTGCCAGGACACCTCCCTCTCCTGCAGGCACCACGGGCTCTGCAGAGTCCCAAACAAGCAGATGTCTCTGGTCTTGTTCAAGCTGGAAAACAGGGCCAGACTGCAGTGACACAGCTACAGAGGAGACAGAGGAATGAAATGATGAGGAGCATTACGTCTGAGGGACATTTAACCCAGGCCTGCTCACACCTGACAGCCAAATCTTGCATGATCCCCATTCCATGAAATTTATGACAACTGGGTTACTGTTGAATATTCTGGAGGATACTGAGACCACGAATCCTGTCACTGTGGAATAAAGAGCATTAATGTAAAATCTGTAAAGTTCACCCAGACTACGTGCCCACACAGGGATTTGCCCCATTTTTCCTCTGCCTTCCAAATGAGAGCAAAATGTTAAACAGGTAACAAGGTAGGGACAGTTCAGGGTTTAAATCAGCACTTGTAAATATAAAGATGTTTCAGCTCCTGAGACAAAGGATACTTTTCCACCAGTTAGAAGCAAACAAAAGCTGGTGCTGCCTCCTGTAAACATGTGAAGGTGCAGAATTCTCTGGGACCAGAGAATAAAAGTTGGCTAAATCACAAACCTGCTCATCTTACACACCCCAATTTGGGAAGTGAGGAGACACTTGTTCCATCTATTCTTATTATTCCAGAACATAGTACTGCCTTATTTCCTGGACTTTTCTCTTGCATGGTGATAACCATCCCTGAAAAGGCTGGAAAATTGGTGAGAAGAGTGGAGAATGGGGCCCATGGCATGCAGTGTTTCCAGGAAAAAGGGCACTGGTCTTTGCAGATGCAGCTCTCCACCTTCAGCCAGGCATCTGACCTTTGGAGTTAATGGGAATTTAAGCAAACAGAGCAGTGTCCCTCTGTGGGCTGGACACAGGAGGGGTTTCTAGGGAAGCAGATCAGCAGCCCTGTCTCATGGTGTCTTTCTGTGCTGTTTGCCTGGACACAGACCAGCTCTGTCTTCCCAGAACATCAGGGTGCAATCATAGCCCTCTCATAAAGAGAAGATGCAGATGAAAGCAGAATCAGGGCTTAAAAAACACAGGGTCAAGCGGGGAAACCAGGAAAGCACATGATAAGAGTCTCATTCTGTAGGATCAGACTATTTTCCTTTGTGAATAACTAAAGAACACAGTTTATCTCTGAAGCAAGCTTACCCACTCTTTCCTCACATGCCTGCCTGCCCTGCTTGGGAGATCACTGCTGTTTGTTTAACACTGACAAAGATGTCCTTGAGATTCCATCCTTTCTGCGGGGTCAGTGAAAAAGTTCACACAAACCCGAGGCTTAGTTAAAAATAAGACAAAGCATCCATTCAGCAGTGACAGGAATTCCTGGGTATTTTCAGCCCAGGCTGAGCAGGACCACCACACAGAGGCAGTGTTAACCAGGACAGGTGGCCAAGGACGTCCCCTCTTGGCAGGACACAGCTGCCCCCAGCCCCACTTCAGCCTGGCACAGGGGGGAAACTCCAGGGAAATCACAGGAAAGGGCAGGATGATGCTAATATCAGTGAGCAGAAAGAATGCCCACTAAACAGAGTGAATGTTTCTTACTCTTTTTCCAACAAACCAGCAGGTTTTCCCCACAGAGAATCTTCCCAGGAGGCTTCCTGCATGAACTGAAGGACTCTGGAAGATGCTGCACCTTCAAAATGGTCATGCTCAGCTCAGTTGTTATTTCACAGGTTTATCCCAGAGGAACTGGGGTATTAGCAGAGCCCAGTGTTCTGAAACACCAGCAAAGGATTCACATACTGGGAGAGGTTTGGATTAGATGTAAGGAGGAATTTCTTTACCAAAATGGCTGTCAAGCACTGGAACTGACTGCAGTTGGAAGTGGTTTTTAGAGACCCGGTGCTAAGGACATAGCTTAGTAATGGAGTCAGTAGTGTCAGGGTAAGTGTTGGATTCAATGATCTTAGAAGTCTTTTGCAACCCAGAAGATTCCATGGCTCTGTGTTTTTGGCATCAACACCACAATTCACCCTCTGAACTTCTGGCTGGCAGAGGCCAGGGACTGGTGGGATATGGTTCAACACCTCAGGAGTGTCAGGTCAATTTGTGCATGGTTTTATGATAAATGATAATAAAATTTATGTAAACAGAACATCAATTAATATGTGAGGTTTCCTACATTAACATCATGTTTAATGGGTAATTGAATGCAAAGCTAATCACTGACCTACAATTAGACTTCAAACCACTGACCACCACCTTGAACAAACTCATACTCACAAGAATGGCCCAAAATGGCATCCTTGGCTAGAGTTTAGCTCTTGCTTCACCTCTTCTATGAAGAACAAAGACTCTTCCTGACCTCACTGAGAATAGTTGCATAGTATTTCCTTTTCTAGGAGGGGATGAAAGACTCCAATAAACAGGAGAGTGCTCGGAAATAAAAATAAACCCATAGACTTTGGAATGTCTTGTTGTTCTTTCCCAAATTTATTCTCCCCATTCTTCAGTCTCATGTCTTACTTGGAAAAATGAAATGAGAAGCAGGAAAGCAACCCTTGGACTGCTTACTAAAATTCCAGTAGAGAAGCTGCTGTGAGGAATGAGCACCACCAGGAAAGAAGAAGAGAAGCAGCCTCAGGCCATCCTGGCAAAGAGAGTCCAGCCTTGGTCAGCCTCGTCTGCTGTCCCCTGTCACAGAACAGCACCAGCTGCATGTGAAGGATATCACATTGGCATTGTGCTTTCTAAGGAAACACACCCAAGTCTGTGCTTCCAGAAGTTTAATTCTAATCTCTAAAGTGGACATGGGTGAACTAAAGGAGTGATTCATCATGCTTAAGGGCAAAAATACTGCATGCATGTGGCTGGAGGCTTCCACTGTCCTCTCCATTACACTTGTCACTGTAAGACAACAGATGACACTGATGGAAAGCCAGACTGGGAATGGGTTTGTGTTCTTCTGAATTGTTTGCTTATGGCCGTGATCTGATTTAAAAATACATGTGAAGCATAAAATCTCAGAGCAAACCAACTAACAGACCCCGAATATAGGCAATATTAATGATTTGAAATACCTACTACATTAGTTACAATTCAAAGCAAATGACATATTTGTCTTCCTGATAAGATGCCAGTAAAAGTGGCAAATAGACACAAGCATTCTTGGTTGCTTACAGATAATAGCTGATCATTTGGCACAAAAAAACACTGGTGGGTAATTAAGGTTTTACACAAGTCAGAGACAAAATCCACTGTGAATTCAGCATAGCCATGCAGAGACCAGAGCTGGAATCAACCAATAAAGGAAAACTCTCCACTCTCTCTGGGTAGAACTTGCTGCTAAGCCTTGACCAGAAAGAGCTGAGAGAGAGGGTGGCAGTTCACAAGAGAACACAGCTTTGCTCAGGCACCTCTTGGTGAAGTGTCTGTGCTGGGTGAGACAGCAGGAGTGAAAACACATCCATCCATTACCTTTGGCCGCTTCCATTCCACTTTCCCCTTTGCTGCTGAGTCGTAGTAAAGGGATTCATCCGAGGCTGGGAACTCAGGATCCTCAAAGAGCCGGCCCTGCTGGAGGCACTGCCCCTTCAGCTCCTGGTACCTCTGACCTTGGAAGAGCTGCACTGATGAAGACATCTTCCTGTCTACATAAGATCAATATTGGACAAACCATGAAGGCTCTTGAAAGCCCATAGCTGGTCTTTAACATTCCCTGGTCTTTAACAAGAGAGCATGTATCTTGTTCTAAATGAGGTCACTGATTTATTTAAAATAAAACAAAAAAACCACCAGATTATAAATCAGATTATGTTAAAGACTAGGAAAGTATAAACCCGAGAAGATCTTATAGATAAGGATCATACTTTTGTCTGAACTGAAGACTTATCAGGAAAGAGCTCAGGCCAGGCAGAAACCCAACATTTTGCTTTGTCTAATTGATTGGAAAGGTAGCAGAGTGAGGCTTGGCTCTCAGTCTGCACCATGTGAGAAGGGCTGGGCTGTCTTTGTCCTACATTCTTCTTCTGGCCACTAAAGCTCAAATTATCTACTCCAAATCTTATGCCTAAGAAAAACAAAACCAGATTTCCACATTTCTCCATCTTAATTTAAGTGACAATCCTTCGGCTTGTACTATTGTCTTTGAACTTTATGTTACATTTCAGGGAACTGAATTCCCAGAATGAGAAAATATTTGCAAAGAACTCATGAGGACTAAAAGTATTTTTAAAAAGCACAACAATGGCAAAAAAACCAAACAATGTGTTCTCAGACCTTAATTCCCAGAATCCTGACTATCAAACTTGGCAGGTTTATGGTCACACCCACAGAGCTCAAATAAATTGCTTTAAAACATTTTACAAATGAGAAATCAATTATAGAAATCACTCAGGGTAGTTTGGAATTTGGAGGACATAAGGGATGCTACCTCTGCTTCTAGAGAGGGAGTGGTGAGAGCATCTGAACTTACCCAGTTTGGAAAGGTCCTGTGTGTCAGTTCCTTTCCTCTTCCCTTTGGACACAGGTCGGAATTAGAGATGTATCTCCCCTTCCTCACCTACAGCAATAAAGACAAATGCAGTTTGAATTAACCAACATCCTGCTCTGGAGCGTGGCACCACATGGTCCTGGCAGCCACTGGCTGTGTCCAGCTGCAGAGAGCTCAGCTGGTGCTCCTTGGGCCACCTGCAGCACAAACTGGATGAGATTCCACAAATCTGCAGGAAACCAAACCAAGCTTTTGCAGGTGTGCACGTGAGCACAGCAAGAGAAATACAGAAGAGTAAGGAGGAACACTTGGAAATGTCAAATTTATCATGGTCTTTGTTCTTGTGAGTGAAAGGTGTTTGTGAAGTGTCCAAGGCCAGGTTGGATGGAGCTTGGATTAACCTGGATAGTGGAAGGTGTCCCTACCCATGGCAGGGGGTGGGACTGGATGGGCTTTAAATCCCTCCCCACCAAAGTGATTTTGTGATTCTTTTACTTTCTGGTTATTTATCTCCCTCAAAAGAAAAAAAAAAAAAGTCTCAAGGCCTCTCACTTGCCAGGTGGCCTCCCAAGACAGGGCAAATAGATTTGCTTCCCCCAGAGACCAGTTGTTCAAGTATTGAACAACTTCTTGATTTTACAGAGGTACCTCAGGGACCACAACGAAATAATCTGACTAATTTTGGGTGGGATATAGATTATTTCATGATAACTGGCATTCTTGATCATTAAAATCCCCCATGAGCCATCTAACATTCTAAACCGAGTCTATTTGTTTTAAAAATAGCCCCTGGGTGATGAGGTTTCTGTCACTGCCTGATTCATTGAGACAGGTCTTTCATGACCTCATTCCCCTGCCCTTTCTCCCCACCTATCTGCCAGACAGGAACGTGAGTCCTTCCAGGATTAACACTCCATTCCACAACAGCCTGGAATGTTCTGTGGCAATGCACAGAAGGTGGTGATGAAGCACTGCCCGCCTCGCCCTTGGGCTGCACCGGCAGTGCACAACAAGGGAAACACCAACAAGGAGGGGCTTCTCCTGCCAGTCTCTTATCCTGCCCCTCTCCAGACTCCCTGTGACATCTGCAGTGTGTTTGAGGGGCTCAGGCTCCCAGGGCTGCTCATCCTGGCCCCTGAATGCTTCACCCCACCCAGGAGGCACTGAACTGAAGTCCCACCACCACCTGGAGAACCAGGAAGAACTCACTTTCACAGGAACCCAAAGCTGCCCATTTTAAACTCAATAAATTTCTCTTTCTCATTGGAAAGCCCTCCATCAAGAATGTCAGTGCAGTTTCTATGCAACAGCCTGGTGGTTTGAGTGCTGAGGATGGAGGAGCAGAGCTGAGCCCACCTCTCCTGGAGTGTTCACTTATGAGGACATGGCCTGAAGCAGACCTGGCTCCCATTCCAAGATTTACTTTTGAAGCAGCTCCCAGTTTTTGACCCTCAGGTGATGACTGAAGCTCCCAAACTAAGAACTCCTCCCTCCTCCAGCTGGGGCACATGGCAACAGAGCATCCCCTGCTCCACACCCACAGCTTTACCCTGGCCCAGCTGGCACTCCAACCTGGCAGTGCTGAGGAAACACTGCAGGGCTCGGCAGCTGCTCTGCCAGGGCTCCTTGCTTTGCCATGTGATACAGAATCAGCTGTGCACAGTGGACTAAGAAATACAGTCCTAAAAATACTGCACCCCAGCTCAGAGACACTCTGTCCTTCTGCAGGGAGAAGGGACCACTCCAGGGGAGGGACAGAGGAGAACAGAAGGGGGTAAAAATGCTGAAGAGCTCTATAGGTCACCCAATCCCCCGTGATATCAGCAGAAGTAAGAAGGTCTCATGTCACTGAGCTTTCAGCCTCTCAGCTTTTAAGTTTTTCTCTGCCCCTCTGTTTTTCCAGAGTTTCCCATTCTGATTAGAAAAAGGGTTTCAGCAGAAGAGTGAAGTGGAGCTGGTGCAGAATCCCCTCTTCAGCCTGACCACGGAACAATCTCAGTTTCACTTACTGTTTCTTCTCAGAGATGATTCCTCTGCCGGAGCCAGCCAGAGCACAGCTAAATCGCATTCAGCACTGGGCAAACAGCAGCTCCTGGCCTTAGGAGCAGTCATAAATTAAAGGGACATTCACTTGAAATCCAGGTATTCACCAGAGCGTTGAGGTAAGCTTTGAGTGTTAAACTACCCAACAGTGTCTCTTTACACTCACATTTCCCTGTCCCACACTTCCTCTCCCCCAGCTGCTACACAGAGATCCACAACAAACAGCACTGACTGTCCAGACAGGCGTGCGAGGGATAACTACACCCTCCTTAGCCTTGAATTCATGCAATAAATGCACAAACCTGAACAGAATTAACCCGCTCTCCTCCCCGTTTTGGTACTCTGTGTGACCAAGTGACATGCAGGGTAAAAGCTCAGGGAGAGCAGCTATTGCAGCTGCTAAGCCCAGCCGTCCCTCCCACTCCCACTCCCATCCCACCCGAGGGGTGCAGGGACAGCAGGGCTGGGTTTTCTTAACCAAACCCAGCACTTCCAGCCCCAGGGGCCAGGCAGCTGCAGAGGGTCCTCGGTGCCAGATGAAACTCCTCTGCAAGGAGGAGGCTTGATGTGTCCTAACACATAAATTCTATCACACACCCTGCTTTGCTGTTCCAGCTGTAGGACTCCAAGGAATTTCCATGCACAGCACCAGGACTAAAAGGGCAAAGTGTATTTCCAGGCAGGATTTAAAGCCACAGTTGGACACAACTTTGAAAATGAAACTGCTTCTTCCAGAAGTGAAACCTGAGTTCAGGCCCACATTCCTGCTGGTTCAGGAGCCTGTGTCTGGTAAGGCCACGGAGGGATGGCAGAAATGATGCACACAGCATATTCCATGCTCTGGGGTACCCTCCCAGGCTGAGGGAACTGGGGTGCCTCAGCCTGCAGAAGAGAAGGTTCCAGGGAGACCTCAGAGCACCCTTTCAGTTCCTAAAGGGAGTTTATAAAAAACAGGGAGAGCAACTTTTTACATGGGCAGACAGTGATAGGACAAGGGAAAGTTGTTTTAAATTGAAAAAGGGGAGGTCTAGATTAGGATACCAGGAAGAAATTCTTTCCTGAGAACTAGCACAGGTTGCCCAGAGAAGCTGTGGACTCCCCATCCCAGGAAGTTTTCAAGGCCAGGTTGGATTGGACTTTGAGGAGCCTGGAAGATTTCTCTGCCCAGGGTGGTGGAATGAGATGAGCTTTCCAACCCAAACCATTCTGTTATTGTATGAGCCCAGTTTGAAGATTATTGTCCATTTGCAGGTACCAAGTTGCCACCTTAGCAGCAGTAACAGCCACACCTGGTTCTCAGGTTTCTCTTTTGTACCTGCAGTTGTGTGCCTGTCTTAACAGCACACAAAAACCTCCCAGCTCCAAACTCTGCTCCTTCAACACTGACTCCTCACCAGACCTTAAAGCCACTGTTTGGACTATGAGAGCAAAACAGGGACTCAAGTATTTCGCTGTTTGCAAACATAGTTTTGTATTTTCCGAAACATCTCTGTCTCCACAATTTGTTTCAGAACAATCAAACCAGTGAATGTCTCCAAAACAGCAGCCCTGCAGCCAAAAGCTTTAAATTACTCTGAACTGGTTTTCTGTAAAACTAATTAAAGGAACTGCCAGATCTCCGTCTGGAAAAGGTTATTGCTCTTTCTTGCTGTGCAGAGTGATCACAGGTCCTTACAACATAATGACTTTGCAAATCTGTATTAAGTGCAGGGGAACTTAAAGCAGTTGAAAATCTTCCACTTCATAAACACTGTGGTTTCATGATCTTGGCTGTTCCACTGCTACTGCTGCAGTAGAAGCAACTCTTCTGGAGAAATTTACTCATTTCAATTCTTTAAACAGCTCAAGACATTAACTGAGAGGCTTTATGCTGGACTGGATCTCCTCTCTTCCTCTGCATAAGCCAATGAAAATGTAAAATTGTCAGTGTTAAACCATGCCGTGTGGAGGTGCAATTGCATTAGTAAGAATCTGATAAATTTTGATCCAATTTGCTGCACAGGATAATTTAATAGCATGCTGTCCAGTATTAATGCCTGTGCTCCAGGGTACTCAGTAGTTTTGGATGGCAGTGCTCTTCCTGACTGGGTGAAGCACTAAGTTATTGTGTGCTCTGGGGATGCCATGAGTGTGCAGCATTAGCCCTTCTTTCATCCAGTAATTGGATTTTCCAACAAAATAAGGTTAATTTGATTGTTTTATGGCCTCTAGATAATAAAAAACTCAGGACTTTCACAGGCATATAAAGGTTTCTCTGTTAGCTCAGCTGAAGAATTACCTACAGGAAGGTGACACAAACATTTGCCTTCTTGCAGAAAGAGGACCATGCCAACCTTGTTATACTGTGCAGTTTTGCCAACTTCAAATCAAGAAAGGAAACCACATATTTTCATCTGGGAGTGTCTGCCCATATCCTATCACTTCTGGGCAGGAATGTGGGAGAGACTAACTGGACATCAGGAGCCCACAAGCTGTTTTCTTTCACAGACAGCATCACGGCCTGACAGAATCAACAGACTATAAACCAAAGGGGTTTTTTTTCCCTAAAATTAATTACAACACTTGTACTGCAACAGCACAGTGCTTAACCAGGCTTTTCTTTCAGGTCTCACTGGGATAGGAGAGGTTCTGTGGTACTCCAGCTGAGAGTCAGAATTCAAATTGCACTGCAGAGAGTGGGTGCTGGGTCAGGACCAAGCCTGAGATTTCCTCAGCCCAGGAGTGGAGCAGGAGCTCTGCCAAGAACCTGCCATTGATTTTCACAGCTTGTTCTCTCTCCATCTCTCTATCTCACCAGGAACTGGTGAGATAAAGTGCAAACTCCTTCTGACCCTTCAGGATGGGAGTACAGAAGCAAACAGCTGCTGAGAAAAGCTGCCCTTGCAGGTGACTGTGCCCAAGGGGGAACAGCTTCATCTGGCATGAGCAGAAACACCCCAGATTTGTAGGGCTGGCTGAGAGTCAGGGGTGTGTGGGATCTTTTCAGCTTGAGAACTGAGTGAAATCAATACACACCTGTGTTTGTTCAGCAGTACAATGCTGATTTCATAGTCAAAACCACTCAAAGTCCTGGCAGAACGAACTCAGAGAGGAAAAACTCTGGCTGGACTCCCTCTCTCCCCTCCTTGCCTTTCCCATGGGAGTTTATCCCCAGTAGCTGCCCGTGAAACACTTTTAACTGTTCTCTCTCTTCCCTCAGGCAAGGGCAAAGATTTAAAAAGCAATGGCATTAGCAGCAAAGCAGATTTTTGCCTCCGCCTGATTTCCAGGTGAAACCTTCAACAAAATCCTGAAGTTCTTTAAGATCATTGCAAACAGAGACAAAACCCTTGGCTCCTTTCAGGATTTTCCAAAGTGCACAGGTGTCCTCATGCTTCAAGAAACCTTGTCCTTCAGTGGCTTCCAGTATAGCCTCAAAATCAGACACGTTTTCAGTTAACATCACAGAGGTTAACATTAATCCAGTCAAATGATCTATAAAAAGCTCTGAAGAAATGCAAACAGCATTGTCATTTAATTCATTCAATCCAAGGCTTTGTGCTGAAACCACAGGAAACAGCTTTCTTCAGAATTCCAGTACCTCTCCATGCTGCCTTTTCATAAAAGTTAGTTTAAATAAAAGGATTGCAAATTAATCAGCAACTCCTTATCAGGCCACTTCATTATTTTATATATCCACTTATAAATTATTTGAGATACAAAAATCTCTCCTGCACAAGAACAATGAAATAAAGTTTAAAAAAAACCCAAAAAAACCCCACAAAAACAAAAACAAAACTTGAATTTCACAGTGAAGGAATCTACGGTGAGAACTGACAATATTTTGGAAGATCAGAGACAGAATAGCAAATGGAATTATATGAGCAGAGATCAAATCACACTTTCTTAGTCTGGCCCCTTTCTTTGGAAGAACTATAAAGGATGCCTGTAGAGAGAAGAGTGGAACTGGTTATCCAAGAAGAAAGGAGAGCACCCATGCTCTGGTAATAAATCCTGCAATAAAGTTTGGCTCAGGGTTAGCACAGAGCTATGACTTTCTGAAAGAACTATATATTAAACAATTTAAGTAATCCAAAACATTTTCTCATTTGGCTCGTTAGGGCTCACAGAGTTTTCATTCCTGGTGCCAAAGGTGTTAATCGGTGAACATTAGTCAGCACTCACCTGGCTGGGGTCAGACGCTGCTGGGGCACATGGAACTCCACAGCAGCTCCTGCAAACACTGATCCCTCAGCTTCTCACCGTGCAGCTCTCCGGGCTGTAGCACGATCACTTCTCCAGGGGTTTGTTGGGATAACTCTTCCAGGGATGTCCCAGCACACCAGGGACTCCGAGCTGACCGAAAGTGCACAGCCTCGTGTGCTCCTGACTCACAAACCATCAGCTGCGGCTGTGCTGGAGCTCTGAATGAACTCTTGAAGAAGGAGATAAGGCCAGGCTGTTTGGCAAGAGTTGCAGAGTTTATTTGGGATTTTTTTTTTTTTTTTTTTAAGGATTAATGTGCACCGTTTAAAAAAAACCATACTTACATTCCTTATTAGGCTGCACAGCATTCATCTTTTTCTCCCTGTCCTAGTAAAGAAGTTGGTATCACTTTATGGGGGTAACAAAACTTAGAACCCAGAAAATAATAAATTTCTCTGTGCTGTAGCAAAATAAAAAGTAGGATACAAATTCTCAACAAGAAGTGGTTTTGGAAAAACAAGCTCTTCTCCATACTTCGCCCAGCTTCAATTTCCTTTTGGGTAAATCCTAAACATCTGGGTTAATTTGACTTTATTTTTTTTTTCTGATTTGAGGACGATAACACCTTTATTTTGCCATTATGTGGCTTTTATTTGTATTTTAGTAAAAGTAGTCCCATTTTTGAACAAGTGCCATTTCAAAATGCATTACAAAATTTCATCTGTACTATGGTTTTATATATTCTCCCCAGTTTTCTTCCTCCATTTAATCCTCATTTTAGCATAACTGGTCTAAGTTTACAAATAGGTTCATTCCTTCTCCTCGACATTATTACTGATAAGTCTCCTACAGGAGATTGGATCTCAGGGGGTGAATTACATCCACAAAATACTCTGAAGATGAATAAAAAGTATCACAAATTTCTGTACTGCTAGGTTCACTGCAGGACTATTTTCTCTTTTACCCCAATTCCTTTTGAATGCACGCTGAAATTTGGACTGAAAGTCCCTGGAAGCTGCCACTACAGTTTTACTATTTCATGAGTTAAAAAGCCTTACATACTAAAGCCATGTGTTTCCAATTCCTGATTGAGTAAGTAGCCCAGAGTTTAAATCAAAATAAAAAGCTGATGGTTGTATATTACACACACACTGTGATTCATCTGCACAGCTGAGGGAAGAACATGAAAACTCCCAAAAGAGCACAACAAAAATTCCACTCTGTGAGCTGATAATAATATTCACAGCTTATAAGACGTGTTCTCACAGTAGCTGCCTTTGCTTTGATCTGGTGCAGAACAAAACCATGAGAATTTTTTGATGTGAGTGGTGTAATCCAAGAATTGGATGGGATTTGTCTGGGCTGAGGAGGAGCTCTTGCTGGAAATCTCATCAGAAACAGAAATTCCTTTGGACAGGCAGCAAGATGAGCTACATAGATGACAAGTAACAGAAGAAAAAAAAACCTGGAGAAGAAGTTTCAAGTACTGTGAACCATTTAACCTTACAACATTGTACCTGAAATCCTTGAATGTGCCCTGCAGCCTTTAGCTTCCTTGGTGGATGTGTCCCCTTCTCTGGATGAACTGGTTTCCATCCATGGCTGTGCTGCATTTCCTGGTGTCCCGAATTTCCTCACTGCTCTCCTGCAGGGCCTGCAGGCACCCCATCAGCAGTGCTCCATCACACTCTTCTTGCTCCAGCCTTGCTGCTTTCCAAAGCTGACTCCTCCTGCACCCTCAGAGCAAACCAGAGCCCAGAGACACCACAGCACAAGGAACCACCAGAATTTGCTCTTTCACAAGGTCTTCTATACCCCACATCTGTATGTTCAGCACCTTGAGCTCAGAGCCCATCATACCTTCAGAAAGTCCTGCCCATCACCTTGCACACACAATCCACTGCCAGGTCCTTGTGTCCCACCAGAGATATGTTCATGGGGCAATTTATTAATAAACCATAAGATGGTTTCCAGAAGAAATTCAATTTAAATCCTACATGTTTACTCTATTTCTAATTTAAGCAGTTTGAACAAAGAAGAGCCCAAGAAATCTGAAAACTAAGCAAGATTCACTGAAAATTTTCAGAGTTGTGTATCCAGTTGTGCCTGATTTTGCTCAACAACACCATTTTGGACCTGTGTCACTCATCCTTTGCATTGTGGAATTTTGATATCAGGTTCCTTTCTAATTTCTCCCAAAGCATAAATGACAGGAGGGGTTGGAGCAAGGGTCAGTCCCAGACTGATGGCTCGCTAGCACTGAACCTTCTGCACAGCACTGAGTTAAAGGAAGACAATCCCTAAAACAGAAGGCACAGAAGGGGCTGTGCTTTGCCCTGCCTACAGCTGTCACAGAAGCTGAAGTGTACAGAGCAGGCTTTATCCCCCAACTACCTTAACCACAATCAGAAGAAAAATTTCTAAAAAGACGAGACAGGATTAGAAGTGGGCACTTGGAGTTATTTTTCAGGCAGGCTGGTCACGGGGGGAAGGAGGAGCAGGGGAACAGCCCTGCAAGGGAAGGGCACCAGGATTTATTTCCCTGCAGGACACAAATTAAATGCAGCCTGCCTCCCTCCTGCCAGCCTGGGGAGGGGGGGACGGGCCCGGCGGCCGCGCGGTGGCGGCATCGCCCAGGGATGGGAGAGTGGGAAAGGGATGGGAGAGTGGGAAAGGAAAGGGATGGGAGAGTGGGAAAGGAAAGGGATGGGAGAGTGGGAAAGGGATGGGAGAGGTGGGAAAGGGATGGGAGAGTGGAGAAGGAAAGGGATGGGAGAGTGGGAAAGGAAAGGGTTGGGAAATGTGGGAAAGGGATGGGAAAGGTGGGAAAGGCAAGGAAAAGGTGGGAAAGGCAAGGAAAAGGTGGGAAAGGCAACAAAAAGATGGGAAAGGCAACAAAAAGGTGGGAAAGGCAAGGAATGGATGTGAAAGACAAGGACAGTGGTGGGAAATGCAAGGGAGTAGTGGGAAAGGCAAGGGAGAGCTGGGAAAGGCAAGAAAAAGTTGGGAAAGGCAAGATAAAGGTGGGAAAGGCAAGAGATGGGTGGAAAAGGCAAGGGATAGGTGGGGAAGGCAAGGTATGGGTGGGAAAGGCAAGGGTGGGATGTTAAAAATAAGGCAAGGCAAAGGAGTGGTAGGCAAGGCAAGCCTAGGGAAGGGTTGGAAAGGCAAGGGAAGGGAGGAGTAGCTAAGGTGTGATAGTTCCCTTGCCTAGCCCTGCATATTCCTCCCTTGCTTTGAGTTCCCTTCCCTTCCCTTCCCTTCCCTTCCCTTCCCTTCCCTTCCCTTCCCTTCCCTTCCCTTCCCTTCCCTTCCCTTCCCTTCCCTTCCCTTCCCTTCCCTTCCCTTCCCTTCCCTTCCCTTCCCTTCCCTTCCCTTCCCTTCCCTTTTCTAGCCCTTCACTGCCTTGCCTTGCCACCCCTCCCTGTCCTGCCCACCTTGCCTGGCCCTCCCGTGCCCTGTGGCAGTGGGAACTCCCCGAGGGGCCCTGGGGCCGGGCAGGGTCACTGGGGTTCCTGGGGCAGGGAAGGGGTAGCGAGGAGCGGCTGGAGTCCCTGCGGTGCCAGGATAGCGACTGTAGGGCTGCCACAGGAATGGAGCAGAGATCACTGTAGGGCTGGGACAGAGAATGGCTGAACTGGAGCAAAACTGTGAGGCTGTGGTTGGAATGTGCGCTCTGGAGCTGGAGATGAAACCTCAGAGAGCTGCAACCCAAAAGATCCTGCCGTGAGAACCAGGAGCAGTTTCACCTGGCGGGGAAGTGGAGATGTGGAGTTGGAGCTGAAACAGCAGAACTGGCAGTGAAATAAAGCTTGTGGGGCTGGAGCTGAAACAGCAGAACTGGCAGTGAAATAAAGCTTGTGGGGCTGGAGCTGAAATCCCTGTTGGGATGGCAGAGCCACTGTTGGATGTGATAGCGGCATTTGGGATGGGGTAGGGACTGTCGGGATGGGATAGGGACTCAGGATGGGATTGGCACTGTTGGGATGCAATAGGGCCTGTTGGTATGCGATGGGGACTATCGGGATGGGATAAGGACTATCGGGATGCCATGGGGACTGTTGGGATGCGATAGGGATTGTCGGGTGCCATGGGGACTGTCGGGCTGTGATGGGATGTGTCAGGATGTGATGGGGACTGTTGGGATGTGATTGGGACTGTTGGGATGCAATGGGGACTGTCGGGATGCAATGGGGAATGTTGGGATGCCATGGGGACTGTCGGGCTGTGATGGATGCGTCAGGCTGTCACAGGGACTGTCAGGATGCCATGGGGACAGTCAGGCTGTGACGGATGTGTTGGGCTGTGATGGGGACTGTTGGGATGTGATTGGGACTGTTGGGATGTGATTGGGACTGTTGTGATGTGATGAGGACTATCGGGATGCCATGGGGACTGTTGGGATGGGATGGATGTGTCGGGCTGTGATTGGGACTGTTGGGATGGGATGGATGTGTCGGGCTGTGACAGGGACTGTCGGGATGCCATGGGGACAGTCAGGCTGTGACAGATGTGTCGGGATGTGATTGGGACTGTTGGGATGTGATTGGGACTGTTGGGATGTGATTGGGACTGTTGTGATGTGATGAGGACTATCGGGATGCCATGGGGACTGTTGGGATGGGATGGATGTGTCGGGCTGTGATTGGGACTGCCGGGATTCCATGGGGACTCCAAGTCCCTCCAGTCCCAGCCGCCCTTTCACGCGGCCCGGTCCCGCCAGGCTCTGCCCGCGCAGTGCGGCCCGGCCCCTCAGGCGGCTGTCCTGAGGCGCAATCTACACGAGTCCCGGTACCGCAGGTGCTGCTGGGGCCGGGAGGGGCCGGCGGGGGGGTCTGTCCGGTCCCGGTCCAGCCGGGAGGAGCCGGGAAGGGCCGGCGGGGGCTGTCCGGTCCCGGTCCGGCCGGGAGGGGCCGGGAAGGGCCGGCGGGGGCTGTCCGGTCCCGGTCCAGCCGGGAGGAGCCGGGAAGGGCCGGCGGGGGCTGTCCGGTCCCGGTCCAGCCGGGAGGGGCCGGGAAGGGCCGGCGGGGGCTGTCCGGTCCCGGTCCCGGTCCGGCCGGGAAGGGCCCGGGGCACAGCGCGGGGCGGGCCCGGAGCGGCGGAGCGGGGCCTGAGGGCACTGAGGGAGCGCGGGGCGGGCGGCGCGCTGCGATTGGCTGGGGGGGCCGGGCGGCGGGCTGCGATTGGCTGGGCGGGCCGGGCGCGGCTATAAATGGCGTGCGCGGGCAGCGCGGGCGGCAGTCCGTGTGGGGGCTGGTGGGCGCTGAGGGTCAACCCAGGGCCCGGCTTCTCACCGCTCTGTGGGCCGGGGGGCGCCGGGATCCGATCCGACCCGACCCGACCCCCTCGAACAGGCGGCGTCGATGCTCGGCCCGACCCCGTTAGTGCCCGCCATACCCCGTGCGGGTCGGGCAGCGGCGCCGCTGCAGGCTGGTGCGGAGCTGTGGGGACAAAGCTGTACCTGAGTGAGGGGTGGGCAGGATGCGGCCCCGTGGAGCTTGACGTAATATTAAAAAATATAGGCAATAGAGTTGGTTTATTCCATTGTTATGTTGCTCTTATGTTGCACTAATGTTTTGTATTAGAGTCTTTTATTCTTTTACTAGACAAGTAGTGTTTATTAAATGAAGGTTGTAGGATTGGGGCCGCTGAGAACATAAAGCCCTGGGACTGGAGGCAGGCCCAAACCCACGTGGAGCTGACATAAATCCCACAGGGAAGGGGATGGAGCTGCCCAGGGGCTTCCAGCCCAGCCAGGGGGATTCTCTGAGGGTTCCTGGGGCTCAGAACCAGCCCAAGGACACATTTTGGGATGGGGAACCCAGGGCTCAGTGGCTGTTCCTTGCCTCTGTTGCTGGCTGGGGTGGGATTGTGGAAGGGTGCGTGTTAGGGGTCAGGTCTCAGCAGCAGCACCCATTTGGGATGGGTGTGACAGCTCATGGAGATACTGAAGGGATGGCAGTGGCTGATTTGTGTCCTTGTCAACAGCCCTGGGCTGCAGTGAGCACCAGGAGCAGCCTTCAGCTGGAGGCAGAGGGAAGCTGAGGAGCTGGAGCTGAGGCAGCACAGCTGGTGAGACATAAAGGTGGTGGGGCTGGGGGTGAAACCCGTGTGGGACAGGGACAGGGTAGGGACTGAAGGGTTGGAGACAAAATGAAGATCCTGCTGAGAACCTGGAGCAGCTTCACCCGTCAGCAGTGGGGAGATGTGGAGCTGGAGTGGAAACCGAGCTGGCAGTGAAATAATGCCTGTGGAACTGGAGCTGAAATAACTGGGTTTGGGGTGGGAGAGCAGCTGTAGTGGTGGAGCTCATTGTGGGGCTGGGCTGGAGCTATAGCAAAGATGCTCCTGTGAGGACCTGGAGCAGCTTCACCTGATGGCAGTGGGAAGAAGTGGAACTAGCTGAATGGGCAGAGCTGGCAGTGAAATAAAGCTTGGGCTGGCACAGGGACCAAATGAGCTGAAATTACCATTTCTTCCCTGCTTCTCTGGCAGCGAGGGCCCTGTGCAGTGGAGCAGGACAGGTGTTTTTGGGGCACACAGGACACATCCCCTGCTGACATTTGTCATCTGTATGGTGAGGCATCAATCCAGCTGGAAAACACACATGAAAACTCCCTGAGGGGCTCACAGAGACAGGAGTTCCCTTCTCTTTGAATTGCCATTTGTATTCCAAGTGTTGTGTAAACATTAAATATTTAAAACATTGCCTGTAGCACTCTTGTTTCTCAGTGGGATTTGGATAAAGCCATTCCTGTCTCAGGGTCATGAGAAATGTGTTCAGGCTTAGCGTGTTCCCCTTCTCCATCAGAGCTTCCAAGGCCTCCAGGAGCCCTGCTCCTCTCATACAGCCCAAAATCAGAGCCTTGTTTAATGCTGGCAGGAGTTGGATGGGTTTGGCTCACGTTTGCCCTGTCCTTCCTGGTCTGTGGGATGCTGCTGCAGGAACACTGTGCAAACTTCTCCCAGCATGGGTAGCAGTTCTGCACTCACAGACAGAACCCACTGCAGCAATTTTTAGGGTTTTTTTGCAGTGCCCAGGCCATGCTCACTGCAGTTCACATCTGCTTTGGGGCCCTGGATGTTTCACTTTGGGCACTTGATCATGCAATGCCATTTTTTTATTTAGTGAAGGTTTGTCTTCTTGTCTCAGATGCCAGCTCTGCTCTCACAGTGCTGGTGATTTCTTGCACTGGTAACTCTTAGCAGGTGTTGTAGTTTCCCAGGTGAATCTCTTCACATGGAGTCTGAAGCTGTGATTATCCCCATCCTTCTGGCACCAAAGAAATTCTGAGCTCACTTTGGGCACCTGCTGTGTTTTTAGTGTGGTCCCAGGTGATTCTCCAGGTGACAGAGAAACCTGTGGCCACATCAAGAGCTGAAAGTCTCCTGAGTTGTAGCCTACTGCTCTAAATATTCTTTTCCTAGTTCTGGCACCTGGCATTTAGAGTCACAGCCAATCTACTTTTCTGACCAGAAAAGCAGAATATAGTGAGCCATTTAAAGATTTAAGGATATTAAGGGCAGGCTTGGTTTTATGTACTAAATCTGTGTCAAGGGAACAGAAAGGTGTTTTTTACTTTCTGTTTTAATGGGGCAAGCCTTGTGGGGATGCTGCATTGGCCTGTGTGTGCCTGGAGCCTGTTCCAGGGTACTTTGTCACGAGACACAGGAATAAGGGAATTGTCTTTTGAGAGGAGAGCACGGGAGGACACATTTGCCCTTGTCCTCAAGTTCTCCAGCACGTAACTGCACTGCTCCCCCTCGTGTCCCCTCCCCACCCAAAGTGTGACCCATTCTTTTGCAGAGCTACAAAAGCTTGGCCTCATCTCCCCGCACTTGGCTCCTGCTCCTGCTGCGTGTGCACAAGCAGTGCATGGGTGGGCGACCTCATTTGAGAGCTGATTTCATTATAGATCAACTCTGTTCCTCCCCTCATGGATCTCACAGTTATCTTCCTCCCTGATGAGGAATTCTTAATTAAAGCATGGACAATTTGTGACAGAATGGCATTTTCCAAAGATTTTCTTTCCTGCTTGCACAAATGTGTCACTCTCCAGAGGCCAGGCTGGTCATGTGTTAATTTAAAATGAAGGTTTTATTGCTCCACCTTGCTCTAGGTGCTGCTCATCTTTCTAGGCAGCACTGGAAGAAACTCCCTTTTACAGGCTGATAACAGATTTGGCTGCAGGTTATTCCAGCCAGGCCTCTGTCCTGTTCTAATTCAACCTTATGTTGGCATTGGTGCCTTATTTTTCAGCAAAACTGAAGCCGTGTCAGAGTGGCATCTTTGTCCCCCTGCTGTCCCCAAGGAGAGTAATTGAGTTCTCCTGTCCCACCAACCCTGGAGGCCGCAGCAGACCCCAGTGCCTCTGGAAGGTCTTTCTGCTTCCTCCCCTGTTCTGTTCCATGGGCTGTGGCACTCACAGGGACCCTGCCCTGTCCCCAAAGACAGCGAGGCCACATCAGGGGGCGGGGGAGCTGTGCTGCCTGCAGGGCTCAGCAGTGCTGGCCCTGCCCCTGTCACACGGGGGATGATCTGGGTGGCCTGGTTTAACCCCAGCCCCACACAGCCACTGGCTCACTGCCTTCCCGGGGCAGGGAGAGAACTCGTGGGTTGAGATAAAGACAGTTTAATGCATCAGTGAGGAAGAAACTAATCATCATTATGATTATAAAAAAGAATTACAATGTACAAAGCAAGGGATGCACAATGCAGTTGTCCAGCCCATGGATGGCTTTCCCTCAGTTTATTTGATAAGCATGACTCCAGATGGTCTGGAATATCCTTGGGTCAGTTGGGGTCAGCTGTCCTGACTGTGACCCCTCCCAGCTCCTTGTGCCCCAAATCTCCTCACTGGCAGGGCATGAGAAGCTGAGAAGTCTGAGCACAGACACTGCTTAGCCATGACTGCAAACAAGTGCGTTATCAACATTATCCTCACACTGACCCCAAAACACAACACCTGGAGTTGGTGCTACTGGGAAGAAAATTAACTCTCTCCCAGCCAAAACCAGGCCAGGGAACTCTTAGTCATGTCTCTTATGTTCAGAATATATGACTATTAAAAGTTATGAATAAGCTTTTAAGGCAGCTAAAGATGCAGATCAGCCTGACAAGGCTGAAAAATCACTGATGCAATTAAAGCAGTGTCACTGGGGTGTTCATCCCACTCAGGGTTTTCACAGCTCCCTGGAGAATATCTCCATGGTTATGGTCACTCCCATCCTTTGGGACACCTCTGCTTTAGAATGTGGACCAGCATTGCCTGGTGAATTGTCTGGAGCACAGGACAGAGCCAGCCTGGGGTGACAACCTGAAAAAAGCTTTTAAAATCACAAGATTTAACGGCAGATGGTGAAAGGGAGCAGCAGAGAGCAGGGTCAAACTCCAGATTTGATACCCTAGGCTCAAGAAGCCCAAAATCTGAACACAGATGCTGAGCTTAATTTCCAGGGATCTAAAATCCTCCTGTGTTGTCTTCACAAACCAGGAGAAGCAGAAGACAGCAGCCAAAGGGTTTTGAACCAGGCCAGAAGTTACTTCAGTCCAAGCAACTGATAGCACACAGGGCTGGCACACTCGGATTGAGACTTCTCAGGAGCAAACACTTCTGCTGCTCAGATGTACCAACATATTCCAGGATCCCTGAGGTTCATTTCTGCCTAGATGCAGGCTGATGCAGCAGAAAGGCTGGGCTGTGGAAGCTGAATTTTACTCTCACTGACACAACAGTAAATCTGGAGTGATTCCATATGTGCCAGAGGAATTGCTGCTAAGTCAGCAGCATCATTTCCAATGGCTTGCAGTGCTGGTTGGGGGTGCCACACTACCAGCATTTAGATTTCCTTTTAACTCTCTCTGGAGTCCCTGGAATAGCTGTGATAAATGCACACAACAGGTTTTAAATCTGCTCTTTTCGGAACATTTTGCATGGGCAGGAGCACTTCCTCCAGGATTTTATTGTCCTGATCCAACACACAGCCCCTGAAAGAGACACCAGGGCTTTGTTTTTGCTCCTCGAGTGCACAGGGACACAAGCAGAGTTTTCTAAAGCACTCGTTCTGCTTTTCTGATAACATTTCCTTCAGTTTCAGCCCATAAAGGCTGCCCTGAGTGTGGTTTTCTCCTGGTTTCATGATGGGAACTGCATTTTTTCCATGTGGCCTTTCCCTGCAAACAGAACTGCACTGTCTGTGCTGCTCTGGCCTGTCCAGGCACAAGTGGGTGCCAGCACTTTGCCAAGAGGGGCGATGGGTTGGTAGCCTAAGCTTTATTGTCATTTCTCAGGGCTCACAGGGAAGAAAGCTTTTGTCCTCACTGTGGTTCTGACTGAGATGCTGGGAAAGGAAAACTTGGCATTTTTTCATGCCCGTGTGGGAAGGCAGGACAAACATAGAGCAGCTCTCAAATCTCACCAAACTTCCCCAAACTCATGTGGACTGCACAGGCTTTGCCCAGGCCCTGGAAGCCAGGGCAGAGTTCAGATGGGGGCCACATTTGCTGCTCTGAATCCACAGTTTTATCTGCAGTGCTCACACAGGGAAAGAGCTGCCCTGATTTTCCCCTTTTCTCCCACAGTGGGACCCACAAGGAGCTCATTCCTTTAGGCAAAAGGATCCTGCACAGGTTGGGCTGTTTCAGTCAGGCAGATTTGTATCTTAATTAATTCAGGGGCATCAAATTCCCTCTCCAGTCTCTTTTTTTTTCTGCATTTATACAAGTGGGGCAGATTTGGGAAAGCTGAGGTATCAAAATGCATGACTCTTCTATAATTCCCAAGTCAAAGTCAACACACACTCAACAAATAAAAGCCTCAGAAAGGTTTTTATCAGCCTAAATATTGAAACCAAATTTTATTTTTTGAAAATGACATTACACACATCTTGCAAATGTACATTTAGATGAGAAAACAATGAGTAACAAATATTGAGAGCAAAGCTATAAAGTGGACAGGTTCTCTGCTGCATGGCATTGCATTACAAGAATACTCAGACCCGGGATGGTTATTACAAGTAGTAAAAACAGTTCACAACACCTCACAAAAATGGAATTTTTTCCTAGTCAAATCTTCTGACAAAAGGAAATTCTGTTAAGGGAGAAGAGCCATAGGGAATAGAGGTGTGGATCTAGGTACACTTTGTGATTTTGTGGCACGGCTTTTTGGGGTTTCTTTAAGTCCATTTCTTACAAAATGCGTCTTTGTGAGTGACCCCATCTTTTCCAAGACTTTGCCCATTTTCTGTCCTCCACTGCCAACAGAACCACAGCTAATAAACAAGAAGCCCCTTCTACTCAACTCAGAGCCTGGGAGTGTGGAGAAGGAGTTGTCTACAGACCCCCCAACAACATAATTCCCATATCCCATCCCCACCCCCTTGCTGTGTATCCAGGAAAATCAAAAGTGTGTGCAAACTCTGCAAATCAGGGGCCGTGGGATGAGTCCTGGGGACATCACCACCACCACCAGGAGTGGAGGCCACGGCCGACGCCGCTCGTGCCTCTTGCCTCAGTGGCCCAGCAGCTCCTCACCCTCCACCAGAGCCAAACTTCCAAGGGCTGGCCTCGCTCCCCAGCTCGAGCAGAGGCACTGGGGACTGATCTCCACCTGCTGGATCCTTCAAGCTGGATCTGATCAACGTGCCAAGGCAAGGCACTGCGAGAAATACGTTCCCCGAGAGAACCTGTTGAGAACTGCTTTTCAAAC